TGCTGGTGAGGTGATTCCAACACACAGCGACCTGACAGACACAGGAGGCTGCCCTGTGCAGTTCCCAAGGTTGTCATCTTTACAGAAGCACATGCCTTATCTTTCTCCTGCGGAGCAGCTGGTGAGTTCAAACTGCTGACCTTTTAGTTGGCAGCCGAGTGTTTAACCACCAAACCACCAGTGTTCCTTAGAAGTGACAGATAGAACCCTACACATTTCTTACTATTTGGAAATGATTCTTAGATGTGGTTGTGGCTAGTTACTGTCCACTCAGGCTCTGCCCGGTCCTCCTCTGTCCCCAGGATCAATTGCAGACTGGATCCTTGTGATCCATGGGGTTTCCACTGGCTCATTTTTGGAAGTTGATTGCCAGACCTTTTGTCCTAGTCTATCTTAGTCTAGAAGCTTTACTGAGACGTGTTCAGCATCACAGCCACACGTCAGCCTCCATAGATGGACGGGTGGAGGGGATACAGGAGGTGGACTGGCTGGGAATTGAACCCAGGTCGCTTGGGAAGACAAGAATTCTAACCCCAAACTGCCTCTGTCCTCTTCTTAGGAGTGCTATGTGACTTTTTGTCTCGTTCACTTGTTGTTAAGTGTTTTCGAGTCAATTCTGATGTAGTTCTGAAACCTATATAGGGTTTCCAAAGAGCAGCTGGTGAATTGAACCGGAAACCTTGCAGTTCAAATTGACGTTGCGGTCCAGTGCAGTTTTCCACAGCGCCACACGAGGACTTAACCTCTGTAGGATTAGCACTTGTCCAGGGGGGTTTGGTGTTATTCTTAGAGGGCTTAGCGCAAATACAAGGGCGCTTTGAAAAGTTCATGGAAAAAATCCATGATCCTTTCATTCTGTTTTTCCATGAACTTTTTGAAGCCCCCTTGTATTACAAAAATCCTGAAAAGTGCTAATAATACAAAGGTCAGAGGAAACGAAAAAGCACAAGGAATGTTAGGAATAAGACCACAGAAACAGTAAAGGAGGTATGTTGTTGTGGCCGGGTGGCGTGGAGTCAATTCCAATTCATGGTGTCCCGGTGTGACAGAGGAGAACTGTCCCACCGGGTTTCCTAGGCTGTCATCTATTGTGTCACTATATACTCGTATATACTCTTATATATCATCCACTCACAGCTCCCCCTGGTGTAATGGGGGAGAACTGTCCCACAGGGTTTCCTAGGCTGTCATCTATTGTGTCACTGTTGTTGTTGTTATGTGCCATCGAGTCGTTTCCGACCCATAGCGACCCTGTATAGGG